TGTGTATGTAGCGTAGTTGTTTGACAAGCATCACTGGCAAGTGTCCATGTGCGCGGAGGACGATGTCGGTCCCGTGGACATAGAAGGATCTGATGTGGAGAACGATCTCGAGCACGAAGATGCGATAGAGCGCATGGATTGCGCCGAACATCCTGTGAGCCGAGAAGCTTTGAAAGAAGTACTCTTTCGTGAGAAAGACTGGAAGCGTTGCCTGGCGGGACGCGACAACCGCACGAAGTTTGCTCTGAGCAGATTGAAGCAAGTGGTTGAAGCCATGGGTGGCTTGCCCAATGTGACTGTCAATGTTGAAGGCGAGCGTCCTCTGGATGGTGCTCTTCGTCGCGCATGGGCCTTTGCTGAAGCACAAGACATGTTTGACCGGCAATCCCAGTACCTGGAGAATGTGTCTGGAGGCCTTCTGCGCCAGATAGACAGTATTTTGGTTGAGAGCTTCTGCACTGTGCGACACTAGCTTGATAGATATAATTTTGGTCTGTGAATTCGGTGTCGTTAAGATCGCGCGTGAGAGTCCGAGAAAACATGTTGTATTGTTATCGCGATAGCGCCCGGAGACGGAGATATAGTTGTACTCAGCATTTTTTTTGCAGCTACTCGTCGTCTAGTTTTTTTACAGCCAATGACCCATACGCCAGGTGTTCCAGATGATGCTGAGGAGGAGTTTGCGCCGACTGGCCTGGAAGCGATGACTACGACGGATCCGTTCTTGATGGATCTGAATGCGCAGAATCTGCGACCGAGGGACTATGCCTTGAAGCTGGTGGAGGACCAAAGCTGGCGGAGAATCACGGGGTGGATCGAACGACTTGTGTCCTTAAGTAGATGTTTCTTGGAGAGTTTATTGCATAGAGGTTTCTTGTTCAATGGGACCAGATTGTAATGGGACCGTGTGAAAGTTCTGAGTACGTCGCAAGGGTTCCGAGCACGCGACAGGAGTGCACACTCAACGCACAGCAGATTCGCGCTGTGGCTCCCATTGTTTGCACGATTGATGAAATGTGGGAGAAGCGCGCCGAAGCGAGCACCTGCTTCGCCAATGGCCAGCCCAGTGAGCGGTGCAACTGTCTATGGCTTGGCGCGGGGGGGCTCGGGCAAAACGTGGGCATACACCAAAGTCTTGCGACCTTTGTTCCAGCGCTTCTTTGGCTTTGGTCGCTACACTGCCGGGGCACCGACCCATGCGGCCGCACGGTTGTTGGGAGCAGAAGCCAGAACTCTGCACAAACTGGCGAACATTTCCCCCCAACTCCGCACTACACCGCGGCGCCATCCGAGGGCAGCGGAACAAAAATGATGCCTTGGAGCAACAGATCCTGGCGTCGTTGGCCTGCATCGTCGATGAGCTGTCGATGAGCGCAGCGGATGTGTATCATGCTCTTGGCCTGCGCTTCTCGGTGAAGCGCTGTGAGGACTGGGCGCTGGACCTGAGCCGCTATCTGCAGGAGTGGTTCGGCAAGATGCCGATAGGGCTACAATTGGGCGACTTCCTACAGTTACGCCCTGCCGCCCAAGCGAGCCTCTGCGAATGGGTGGAAGTTCCGTCAGCGGTAGAACCAGCGCCGCTGACGGAACTTCAAGAAGCCGAAGCCCCAGAGCAGGCCAGCAACGCAGCCGAGCTGGGGCGGCTCTTGTTCAAGAACTCCATGGGCATTGTGGTGCACTTCACTGGAACTGGGCGTTTCTCTTCTTGTGCTTCTGGCCAAGCTTTGGTGGCCATTTTGCAGCACATGCGGCAAGGCACCGCCATGACGGACGCACTCTGGGCGCAACTCCAGAGTCGTGTCTACGAGGTCCAGCAACTGCAAGACCTCCAGACCGCGCCTTCGCGCCGGGCGTTCTTGCGGGCCTACTGGGGTGCACTTGCTTGGGAGCAGGTTGCTCGGTTGCAACAGTTGCGAGCAGTGCTTGAGGCGGAAGATGCTGGAGAACGGCTGTACTTCGTGCAAGCCATCGACAAGCCCACCGGCGACGCCACACTGTCTTCCGCCCAGGTCAGCGCAGCTCTGCAGTGTTTGAACATGACCAAGACTGGCTATTTGATTGGCATGTGTCCGTTGTTTCTTGGGATGGACGTGCGCATTTCGTGCATCTTGCCGGAGCCCTTGCTGACGCGTGAGCTCCCGCGCATAGTGCGACGCATAGAACTACATCCCAAAGAACCTCCAACGCCACCTGGAGCAGCTTGCGTGGTCCTGCAGTACCCGCCGCTTGGAGTCTTGGTGGAGGTCGCAGACAGTGATTATGGTCAGTTTCAGGTCCCTGGCGACGACGTACCCAAGGGTCATTTCTACGTGAGGCCTGTGTTCAATAAGCAATCGGCCTGGGTCTTTGAGGTTGCGCCCAAGCAGAAACTTCGACTTGTTCGGAAACAGGCTTGGGACGCACTAACTTGTTTTGGGTTCTCTGGTGTACATCATATCGTCGTCGCGTCGGTCTGTCTTTCTCGTTTAGTTTCCTTTATGTGCAGGTACCCTTGGCCCCACAGCGAGTGCTGACTCATTTTGGGCTGCAAGGCATCACTGCCAGATCTGGCCTGGTCGCTTTTCTGAATCAACCTCCCTGGATGAAGGATGGAGATTACGGTTTGGCCCTCTATGTCATGTTGTCACGAGCAACGAAGTTGAGCGATTTATGGCTCATTGGAGTGCCTGAGCGCCCATATTTCGAAGGCTTCTTGCATGAGCACAACAAGACTTTGGTGGATCGTATGAGCCTCTTTGAACGTCTGTCTGTGCAGAGTGAGCAAGCTGCGGAAAAGTACATCCAGAAGCTGCTTTGGAGGGGAAATGCTTACGTGAACCGCACGCTTGGTGTTTCTGGAACAGGACAAGCCAAGAGGCGGAGGCTGACAGGCAAGACTGCTGTGGCCTGAGTCTACGTGGTATGTTGCAAGTGGATGCGAAGATCCGACGCAATCACCTCGGAGAAAGTGGACGTAGCTTTGCTTAGCAGACGTTTCAGCAAGGTCGGGGTTCCCAACGAGAACAGATAAGCTGTACTTCTTTTTTTGATAGTGTTTTGATAGTGGTGCTGGGACGTGCTCTGGTTTTGGGTCGCGGGTCGCGTGGCCTGCGGCTGCAGGTCCGACACCATTGCTTTTGGCTCCGGGCACGAACGTGCGTCAACGGAACACTGAGACAACGCCTCAGTATTGTGGTTCTGTAGAATAGTTCGTTTTCGATCTTGCTCGAGGTCCGATGCAGCAATGACCTCTCAGGGGATGGACGTTACTCTGCGGAATTACTGTGGGGGGTAGATGCAACACCGCAGGGAGGTCGGGGACCCCAAAGAGAACAGACAAGCTTAAGGTCTTTGACATCGTGAAAGCATCTTGTCGCAATAGTCATCTTAGTACTCTGGTTCTATGTGATAGTTGCCTAGTATCTCTCAGCGCAGAAAATGAAAACTGTGGTTCTTTGTCGTGGTTTGCTTTGCATTCTGC